ACTCCAAGAGCAGACAGAAAATCTGCGTCACTTCAGGGCCCGGGGACAGACCGTCTGTGTTTGGTCCACAGCAGCTTGTGCTCAGGCTCTGCAATATGTGGTTAAGTCATTTGTAGAGTATCATTAGGACAAATGAGGGCGGCTGAGGTGGTTATTTCACAGAGAGCGGAGGAAGATTCCTGCTACTTCCTTCCGTTAATGGACACATCCTCTAAACTTTAAAACCCATCTAAGAAAATCCAATTCTCCTTTCTAATTTACAGACAAACAACAGAAGTGAACGCCTCCAGAAAAACACCTACAGACGGGGACGCTGGATTAATGCTGCAGTTTTTCAAATGATCCAAGGATAAAATAATACCTCAAACCTTCTTTAGTCTTTTGACTTTTTCGTTTGAAGCATTAAAATCTAAAATCCAGATTACATGTGTATATTACTGATTAGATTAGATTCACTTTAAAGGATGCAGCTGCTCAAATAAAAACCTGGTCAAATAAGAGAGTGCTTCTGTGGGACTGGACTGGTGTTAATGGTGTTCTCTGGTCCCCTGGTCAGACCAAATTATCCCTCTGACCCACTTTCTGGTCTTTAACCATCAATTGAGAAAATCTGGTTCAAGGGGCGGCTGAAGCTCAGTGGGTTTGAGATTTGACTTCCTCCAAGAAGGTTGCAGGTCAAATCCAGCTGATAATAAATCGTCGGAGTACGAGGCAGAGGGGAACGCTCTCACTCACACCGGTCATTTCATCCTGTGAAGAGTTAATGAGCCGTCAATTAACCAAGGAGGTGATCTGAGACACACTGACCCGGGTGTGAATAACGCCCTGTAAATGGGTCACGGTGTGGATTCTTCTGGTGTTTTATAATAACCACTCTGTGTTCTTGCAGTCAGGTCATCATTAGATTGGATTAGACTTGTATGATCACAAACTAATATACTACATACTGGAATATATGTAAAAAATATTGATTTGGTTTTGGATAGTTATGGTACTACACGTTTACCATGGATCATTTATCATCGTTTATAAACATTGATGAAGACTGTACTGACCTCTCATTCATCAATATAAAGAACTAATAAACAAATATAGGGTCAAACAGAATAACACATTTATATGACGTGAGTTGACAGTGATGTTATAATTTTTAAAAGGTCTTTGATTTTAATAAACAGAACATGTTCGGGGGCGTCTCCAACAGCTTTGACTAGTTTTATCATAACATATTTGCCAGGTGTTACATTCGATTTGGTCAAAATGGGTCCTAAAATTTGACGGGGGAGCCGGGTCAGGAGCAGATAGACGAGCATTTAGCCTTTTCTACACAACCTTCTGGGGAAATGGGGGCATAGCAGGGAAAAGGCAGAAGTATAATGATAATATAAATTAATAACATCATTTGGATACGTTTGGTGGGCCAGATTAAAAATCCAAGCGGGCCGCATCCGGCCCCTGGGCCGTAGTTTGCCCATACCTGGACTAGACAGTAGTCATTTTTAACAAGAGCATTAAATGTACCCACAAGTATAACTATTAAAACTAAACCAAAAAACATACCCACAAGTATAACTATTAAAACTAACCCAAAAAACAGCAAGTAATGGCATGAGTATTACACACACACACACACATACACGCACACACACACACACACACACACACTATGTACAAATACAAATGAAGACTTGGTCAAATGGTGGACGAATAAGTACAAAGATAGCGTGACAAAGAAGGAGAAGAAAGGAAGTGAGTCACGTGTTGTAGTAGATGCAGCACCTACTATTGATCTACCCAGACACACACACACACACACACACACACACAAGTGCACACTCCCAGTACAAAAGCACAGCGTGATATGATTATAATACCCAACAGGTACGAAGCAGAACACAGATCAAGGTCACCGCTGTCACAGTGAATGGGGAGTCGCTCTGATAAATGTGTGCGTGTCTGTGTGTGTGTGTGCATGTGTGTATTTGATGCCAATTCAGCACCGCAGGGAGATTCACAGCACACACTCGCATACTAGATTTTGGGGGTAATTTGGTAACCAGATGTGTTGCACCACAGGCACAGCAGGGAGCTGCACCACAACAGGAACACACTCTTCTATTAAAAGACTCCATATTCGTCTCTACTGGTGGTGATGGAGAATAAATTTGTTTTTCAAAAATATCAAAATATCTGTCATCACACAAATTGTCATGCCAAAACTCCAGCATCAACCAAAACAGGAAAAAAAAAAAAAGGCTGGAGGAAAACAATCAAATTCACACCTGGGGTAAAACAACAGACAAACATATTTTTAGTGTGTTTTAATGTGTTTCAAGTCGTGTCCCACAATGCACCTTTCTGCCTGGATTTATAAGCCGTGTGTTTTCATCTGCACCTCAGACCTGGATGATTATGTATTCATGAATGCAAAGTGTCTATAAATAAGTTTAACAACATGGTTAATTGCTCATTGGTGCACAAACACACATTCACACACATAATTACACACCTCTCTCTCCTTCACTGTGTCAGATGGAAATACATCGCAAACAGTTTACCCATTCATAAAAGACTGAGTTTTTTTTAATCCAGACTCTGATTCCTAACATTTATGAATCTATAATCTGTGTTAATAACCCACTTAAAGTAGAGGAGACAGAAACCTGAGCATCCAACTGGAAGGATACAGTACTGACCACAACAAATGAGATGCACAAAGGGATGATTACCGTATTTTCTGGACTATAACTCACACTTTTTTCTTCCTTTGGCTGGGTTAGCGACTTATACTCAGGTGCGACTTATATATTAAAATATATAATTTCACGTGTGTTATTTTCACACTGACAGCCACGAAAGGCGTCAGCATAGCATACACCTATTCAGCCTGTTGTTCTCTATTCTACTGTTATTATAATAAATTACCCTTCAAGATGAAATGTCTGTTCTTGGTCTCAGAATTTGTCAAATAAATTTTGCCCAAAAAATACCACTGTACAACAGCAAGGAAGCTTCTTCTAAAATGCCATGAAGTCACTTTAGCTAAATTAGCTTAGGCATGCTAACCTTGCTCAAGTAAAAAAAAAAAACAGTTGCTTCAGAATGAACTTTTTTATTAAAGATATTCTGGTTTGATTTTTTGTCCTTAACGTTGTGGCTTCTTTAATTGGTTTCTACGGGGCAGCACCTCAGCGGCACAGACTCAGACAATTAGAAACTTACTGCCTCAGGACTTCAATCTGCATTTGTAGTGGTGAGTACTACGACTCACAGGGAGGAACAGGTAGGCAACAGACTTTTTGTTTAGAAACAGCATCATGGGATTGACCACTCTATATTAAAATTCGGAGCAGCGAGTAATGAGTTTTTCACTTTGTGTGCACACCAGAATACAATATTGTAGTACAAATGTCACTTCAAGTGACATTTAAAACTTTGAAATTAATCAAATTCCTACCTCAGCACCAATTAATGTGTCTGACACCCAGCGATGAGCAAATGTTCGTCGCTGTGGTGAAGTGAAAGACTATAACATAAGGCTTGTCTGTTTCACACACACACACACATTTTTAGACATTTTTACAAATGACCAAGTGCTCTGCAGACAAAGAGTCTCTGCTTTGGTAAAGAAATCAACACCTTAAAGACTCGTTCTGTGCTAGCACGCTCTCAATCAGGGACATAAATGGATTTCTTTGTTCTCACACTTTGGAAAAATATTCAACATTGTATAAATAAAGAACACAGCGATGCTGCCAAACAAAGGACTGTCTTGGTTTCGATAATAAACAGACACGGAGCCGGAGTTTCTCCTCAAATGAAAAGGCAGCCATGCAGAGACAAAGAAGCAGAGCGGGTCACTCGTCGCCTGATATCAATTGTCACCAAAATATCACTCAGCAGCCGGCGTGTAGAAGAGTTTCCACGGAGCAGCTCAGTGAATGATTCACCAGTGAGGATTATATGGTTTTGGCAGTTCGACTCTCACATGTGTTACTCAACCAGGCCCATGTCTGTCTGTCTGTCTGTCCATCCGTCTGTCTGTCTGTCTCGAGGTCCAACTGGACATCCACACTCACTTTTATGGACATTCAGTGTCCAGAGGATGAAATTAACATTTTAAATAGTGGCTTCATGGGCCCTGTGAAATGTTTTTAACATTTCTGGGTTGATTTTTAAGGCGACTTTATCAAATTTAAGTATCTTTTGAAAAGCTTTGATCTATTACTAAAGCTACATATTTGACTTCATGTCTGGCTTCACTATACTCTTCGTTTGGCACCTGTTCATCTATACATGGGCTAACTAAGCTATGTCTTTGGTTAGCCTTGTTGTTGTATTATTTTTGGCTTTTACTGTTGAATCAATTGGCAGCTCATCAGTTATTTTGTCATTTTTTGTGCTAACGCTAAGCTAATTTTGCTATGACAGTGTAATTTTTACATTTTACTTTTAATTATAGCTGGATATTAATATCATTAATATCCCCTGTAACACTTTGGCTACTTTGTCATCTGTATGTTTGAACTATCTACCTAGTTATGTCTGGTATAGTCTGGTAAACTATTCTTATGCCCATTTCTGGTTAAAAACAAAATTCCAAACTTGTTAGTTGTTAGTCTTCTTAATTATTTACTAACTTTTGCTGTTGACTTGTGTCAACAGCCTAGCAGGATATCTTTACTAAGGTTTTAAAAATACAACTACTGAACGGAGCAAAACGGCCCCATCAGGAGAATTTTAAAGGCAAACGCAGTTATTTTATGGGCATCTTGCCCTGAGGCCCTGCAAGTTTAATGACCCACGTCACCAGTCACTGCCTTTCTGATGCAGGAAGCTGATGTGGTGGAGACACCAGCAGCAGCTGTTTTTTCCTTCCTCCAAACATCTCTATGGCAATAGACTGGAGGACTCCTTCTGCACAGTACGACTCCCCTTGTCTTTTTTTTTTTACAAGTGCATACAAGGTCAGGTTCAAGTGAAGTAAAGGTTCGTCCTACCTCCTGAGATCTCATTGGCTTCATCTGGAGGTCCAAGTGAATCAGTCCGTGTCTGAGGTTCAGTCTTGCCTCCTTCATCACTCTCACCTATTTCAGCTAGAGCAGATTAAACAGATAAGTGAGGTGTTAGTGGAAACCCACAGTTAGAGAGACTTCCGCTCATTGAGTGTGCATGAATGTGGAATAAAAGCACACGGGGGACACAGAAATCTTGGAAGACACCAGGTGATAAATGTGGCGAGAACAGATGGAAAGCAGTCAAAATATGTCAACAGAATGGAGTGAAGAAAGAATGATTCCACTGTCACTGTGAAATTAGTTCTGTGACCAAAGAATATAAACTAGAATTGATGTCTCTTCTTCAAACATTGTTGCTGAAATATTCAACTTTTTTAAAATTATATCTGATACAAATATCTGATGTTATTACAGTATCTTTGCATTAAATTAGGTTTAGTTTTAGATTACTTTTATTTAGGATTCATAAAAAGCACATGTTGTATCCCTTTTTTTTTGGTGTGAAAATAAAGATAGCGGCTGTGAATAATACAGAATATGGTAAGCTATTACTACAGCCAATAACAAAATCAATGTATACTGCTGAGTCATTTGACCAATGAATGCTGATTCACAGGCACCAAAGAGTTTATCAGTATTGGCAGAATTCTGACAAAAAATAAAGCTTATATTAGAAGAATGAATTCTTAGGTTAATGGGAATGAAAGTTAAATATTGCTGACTGGTGGTTCTTTTTTCAAATAGATAGAGATGTCTTGGCTCGTTAATGTCCTGATGCTAACGAGGATGTGGTGCTGATTGTCTTTTTACTGAACTTCAAAAGATGCTTTAACTTTTCTTTTTCATTCTCAGAGCATAGCTCCCTAAAAATGTAAAAGAAAAATGCCATCCATATGGCAATTATACTGTCATCATATATACTGTATATTGGTGCAAACAAAACTCAAAATATAGGGGGGGGGGGTTGGGGTGGTTGCAGGAAAGAGAGTCCAGTATGAGAAGGTGAGGAAGTAAATAACAGGATGAGAGAGGAGCAGCAGGAGGAGGCAGAGCAGATTTGACAGCACAGAATAGTAATGCTGTGTCAACAGTGAGCAGCAGAGTGGTGAAGGCCACAGCCACTGTTGGAGAGATGTGAACAAAAGAGCAGAGCGTAGTGTGTGGGAGCAACAAGGCACAGCCATAGGTTAGAAGATATAAAGAACAACAACAACAAATGTATGAACAAACCTTTATGTCTGCCCTGCAGCGGTTTGCTCTGCACGCCGCCTCTGACAGCGATGACACCGACCGTGTAGGCTTTGGCCGGGCTGTAGTCTGTTATTAACACCTTGGTGTCCGATTTAGAGACGATGAGCTCCTTCTGATGTCCACCTGAAGAAGAGGAGGAAGAACAGGAGAAATGAAGGTTAAACTGGTTCGTTATCTTCAGCCCGGATTTTCCTGGATTTTTCTTTTTTCTTCTTTTTCTACTTGCTACTGTCAGTTGCTTTGAAGTGAAGCATTAGTATTCTCGTGATGAGCCAATACAAAGTGAATGCAGTGTAGACTAATTAAAATTCCCCATTGTGGAGACATTACATTCAAGGTCATCATTTTTTTCTTTTTTTTTTCCTACAGTGCATTTATTCTCCAAAATAGTAACGTCAAAAATATCTGTTAATCCCCAACTGACAAAGATGTTACTTCATCAGTCTATTTTAGATCTGACCCTGTCATCAATCAGGACAGCAGCACATCTGTGTGTGTGTGTGTCTGTGTGTGCGTGTGTCTGTGTGTGTGTATGGGTGGGTTTCTAGTAAAGTTATATTCCTGGGAACATTCTGCAGGTTCACACTGAGTGACTACAGAGTATTTTTAGGTTCAAGATTTTGTTTGGAGTTAGGATTAGAATTAGGATTAAATTAGAGTTAGCCTGAGGATGAGGACTGGGTATAAATCTGTATTGGTCAAGGTGAGGTTTAAGAGTTAGACCAGGCGTGGGTTAACCTGATAAAATGCTAAAACACTTTTATCATTTTCTACGCCATCTAGTTTAGCAGGCCGGATTAAAAAGGTGAATGGGCCACATCCAGCCCCTGGACCATAGTTTGCCCACGCCTAGGTTAGACGATGCATTGTCTATGTACAGTGTTCACAAAACACAAACTCCTGTGTGTGTGTTTGTCAGTGTGTATGTGTGTGTCCCCTCAGCTCTGGCATCTCCAGTCCCTGTCGGGTGATGACTAACAATGGCTCAGGAGCAGGGAGATAAGCCCTGCTGTAGGGGCAGCTGGTTAGGGCAAATGCATGGACCAGTGCTCACACCACAAACACAAACCTGAATCTGATGATCAGGTGAACCTGAGCAGTTTTTATATTTAGGTCTGAAATTGAAAGACATTGACTTTCTCATGGTCCAAACATGTTCAGGGATTCTCCCTGAACAGCCCTCAGCGGCGGTCAATAACGTAGCTGAGCAGAAAATGGAAACAAGGACGAACAGATAGTGTGTCCTCTTTCTGTCTGTGGTTTAAAAAAAAACATCTATACACTGCTGAGCCCGGGTGAATGTCAAGTGGTGAAAAGAAGGATCTGGAAGGTTAAATTTATGGTACAGTGTAACTTAATCTATAATTGGAAACTTAATCTGATGCATTTTATAGTTTTCTATATTTATTAGGCACATCATTATATGATCATATCAACCGATATTAGCATATTATGTAATATCTGTAAGAATCATTATAGGTTTTTCCACCAATAATGAAAACCTGATACCTGGGTTTCGCCAAATGATATAGGCCCAAAACATTTTGGGGATAAACTGCTGTATATTAAAGTGAAAGTCACTAGATGTCAGCATTGCAGCTCATTTATTTAATGTCATACTCATACAGTGCTTTGTTGATTAACAAATTAATATTACCAGACCTATTTGGTATTGGTTGATAACGGAATCAGAAATTAAGTGATTAGACAATATCGGCATATCAGATATTGGCAAAAAGTTAATATCGGACATCCCTAATATTGATATATTAAAATGTGTTCTACACCATCAGACATACACAGCACATATGACGTAGGTACAACATCAGCATGTATCATTTCTAAGCTAATTCTAACTTGTATTTTTTTCCAAAAGAATTGTGCAAAAGCTCTGCTCCTTTTCTGCTCAAAGATTTTAATTGATTGATTTTTATTGATTTAATGTCTTTAATGTGTCAGTCTTTTTTTTCCTTCATCAAGAATGATTCCTTTCCCTTTGCAGGAAATAGCTTCTGTTAATGAGAGGGAAATAAAAGTGGCTGTAAACATCCTCCTGTCCTCACTGTGTGACGTCTTCACAACAACCCACTGAGATGAGCCCTCTCTATATAACACTGCCTTCCTGTTCAATCCACAGTCATTAAAAGTCAGCTTGAAAAAGTAAAAGTACTGTAAAAGTGCTTTTTAAATACTGTTATTAATACAACCTTTCCAGTAGTTTCCATTAGTGTTTCCAAAAGGCCACCGTTATCATTTGTCCCAGTTGAGTTTCACAGAAATGACTGTTGGTCGAGACAAGTCAGTTGTTGAAAACAGCAGTTTTTGAGACTTTAAAAGAACAGTGTTTTAGGCTGATGGAGCAGAGAGTTTCAAACGTCTGAGCTTTTTCATTGGAATCTTTTTTTTTTAACCTAAGATTTCTCGGTGCAAACTGCCCGGTTGTCTGGGTCAGTGTGGCTGCTCTTATTTATTCATTCATCTAATGGAGCCAATCCCTGGTGACACTGGGTAAAAGGCAGGGTGTGTCCACAGTGACAGGTTCATCAGAAGGCCAAAAAGGCCGACAGTATCATCTATCAATCAATTCAAAGTCAATCAGAGATCATTCAGAAGTGTTCACCGTCTGCCACCACAGATGCCAGGAACAATTTGGGTTTTGGAACTCTTCTCTAAAGCCCAATAGAACAGAGCAGATGATGTCAGCTCAGTGTGACGGAGGAGGCAAAAAAAACCCCGAAACAAATTTATTCCAAACGCAGATGTTCAAATGCATCTCTCTGCACAGACTGAAGTGAAAGGTTGACGCTCCATAACAAAAGACGGTACTGTTTTAAATGTCCCACTGGGACAGCGCATAAGCATAAGGTGGTGTCAGCACATGTAGTGAGAGTGTAGCCAAGTGTAACCTCGGTGAAAGGACACAGAGAGAGGGCCGACCTAATCAAGTCCTGGTGACATAAGGCGTGTATGTTCTGGACCCACCAGGACGCCGGCACCTGACCAAGTACAGATGTCCAGATATGAAAAGTCTGGGCAGCATGAATTATTGTAACTCAGCAGGAGTCACTTGAGATATGAGCGACCAAGGAGAAAAATAAAAACTACTAAAGAACTTTTGAATCAACAGTGTCTGACATTAAACGACTGTACGACGTTATCAACATTGTTAAAAGCCTGTAA